GTGATAGCTTTTTGGGATTTTGGGATTCCACAGGAATCAAATACGAGGGATACGAATCCGGATACAATAAGATCACAACTCGTTTCTTCTTATTACATGACAAATCAGTTTTTGTTTTCGAGTTTGTTATAGTTTGCTTTTGAAATTTGTTTTTCGATTTTATTATCGCGTAATCTGCATAAACCTTAATAGAGACAGCAGCTTTTGCAACACATTAGATATACATTTGTGGTTAATCACCTATAAACATATATTCAGTCGCATTTTGCCATTTTTGACTTATTTTCCAAATTTTATTGTTTTTCGTCTTTATCACTTCCGGTTTACTCGGGAAATCGATTTTCACTTCCGTTTGACTCATTTCCGGTGTACTTGCAAGATGTCAACAAAACGCATGCTGATCGGTAGCTAAATATCAAAACAAAATCAAAAACACCCGGACCAGACGGAATTCGGCCACCATTTTTATTTTGCTGCAATTTGTCATATTCCATTGAGAGAAAACGGCTTGCCCTATTTTAATGGTTTTTGGTGTCAAATGAAAGAGCAAAAAATTAAGGAAAAATAAACAATTTCGCTTTTTCGTTTTGGCAATTTGCAAGTTTTAAAGCACATATTCATTACATTGGCCTTTGATAACCTCGGCTATCAGGTGATATTTTAATATTTAAAGTCAGACACATAGAAATTTGCAACTTTGGACGTGACCTATTTCTCTTAAAGGGCTATTTTGTCAGATTCTTAAGGTGCTTTTAGTGTTATTTCTTACGATATATAAAAAAAGATTTTTAATTTCAAAATTTGATTTTGTGATACCTGGCTTATTTTCAGTATTTTAGTATTTTTTGAATAAATTACCATTTATAACAATTAGAAGCTTCAAATCTAGAACATAATTAGACCACCAAGAAAATTTGGGGAATTAGACGCTTGGAAACGCAAATTCCTGACGAATATAAGGTTGAAGATTATTTGTATTGGGTCTGAGGGATCTCGCCTAGAACATTTTGAGAATTAGACTCCCGGAAATACGATTTCCTGACATTTCCCAGCGAATTTAAGGTTCAAGATTATTTGTATATGGTCTATGGTATGTCGTAGACGCCCGAAAAACTTAATTTGATTACCAATTACCAGATCTTAAAAGCTTGAAAGTTAACAGGCTAGAAGTTCCAAATGGTCCAAATTCAATGGGATAAGGTCTCGCGCCACGTTCGGATTGTTCACAGTTCTAGATTATACTGTAAAAACGCACCGCATAACGCACCTGCCCTGTTCGTAACAATATAATTTGAGCGCTTAAGAATCAATAGCATTAAGTCATTGCACTGGTTCCACTCGTGCAAATTTGACATGTAGGAGATTCGTATCAGCACAGTATGTATAACTTATATTGATCATTTTATTAATATTTGACATTACGATCAACGACCGTTCTCATTAGCTCATTTAAGTACAAGAATATGACGTAACACTCCATATAATATTTTGCCTAAAATGCATGATGACCAAACAATAATTTGTTTGTTTATTTATTCCCTACATCCTCTGAGACGGGACAGTGGTTCACTTTATTCAAAACACTTACTATTTGTTGGTTTAATTTCAACCCAAAACACCTACCTTTTCCTTGCAAGAGGGGTGCTTGTACAAATGTTCATAATTACAAAACAAAAACGGAAAAGGGGTTTCCAGAAAGCGTGGTGATTGGCCGATTTCCATATCATGTAAATCATCAATATGTAATATCTCAATGAAATATATCATGTTGGTCAAGTTGAAAAGTGAAATAGATTACGTCTGCAGACAGAAGGGAAAATAACAATTTAGCTTAAATTTTTGGAACGAAATGGTCGTTTGAAGTAGCCGTCATTAATGTCGTTGATATACAATATAATGAAGTAAGGTCGTACAAGAAAATTTAAAAGAAAGTAACATGGCTGGCATTAATTCATCAACAGCATGTTTGAGTTCTAGACATTTGCAACACAATCCGCTCGATTGTTGCGAGGAATATAGCTGTTTCAGCCGTAGAGCTCAATATCAGCTTTCTGTTACAATTTTCAAAATGTTAATTCAAGAATCAAAGTGTTGATGACTGACAACATCTATCAACATATCCAAACATGGCAAGGTCAAGGTCTCTAGATGCTGAATTCCAAATTTACGAACAATTCTAAAGCAAATTTTGAAAAATCAAATTCAACATTCAAGATTCTGCTCCCGTCAAGTGTAGGATGATGTCTGTACAACCGTTTCGAAACGGCGGGCCACTAATGGGCGATGCGAGTAGGCCGTGGGGCACGTAACCAACCATCAATTAATCATGGAATTAACAACGAGAAACGTGCAATTTTTTAATGCCATTTATTCAATAACGTATTTCATTGTGCATTGCAAATAACAGACATATTTGACGTAAAATCACTTTTTCACATGAGGTCAGACCTCGTTAACGATTTGATTGGTTAGATTCATTTTGACGTCATACTTTGATATAAGAGCGCGGATATAACAAGTTTCGATATCAGAATAGGCAGCGACAATCTGCGGGCGACACCGACCTTGACAAGCATGAGCAAGCGAAGCATCTGCTCGCGGGCCGCATTTCCCTCAAATTTTACATGACGCCGCGGGCAGCACAGGTGTGCCTTAAAAGGTTCTCATATGTACAACAAATTTACAAATCGGATAATCTGTACGGGTTTTACTCGACATTTCTTATACCCGAAGCGATTTCGTGTAAACGGATGCCCTCACACGTTCGAATCCTCCTCAAGGCAGAGTCAGTGTGCCTGTGAGTTGAGAGTTGAGAGATTCCAAAATTTTACATATTTCGGTTGCTTAAGATACATCATGTTACAGATGATGACCTGAAATGGCCACGAATAAACATAACTTTCACCAACAGTATTTTTGGAAACAACATCAAGTAGGCAGTGGCTATTTACCACTTGCGTAGTGAGTGGTAAATAGTCATAAGCACCCTTACAGCTATTTACCAGGCCGTGATTAAGTCATGATTTGATATTCCTTCCGGCAAAAATTGCTTAAAACTAACTGAATATTCAAAATAACCATTTTGAATTCAAAAACTCAACATGTGCATCACAAATTCGATTTTTTGAAAAAAAATGTGTTTGTTTACAAATAAATGTCAAGGCCGATTGGAAGAGTTCACGGTTCAAGGCTGAATACTTCTCAATTCAAACCTGTCTAAAAGGTTCCGCGTTGTATGAAATTTAGTGTACTTTCATTTGCTCTTTCGGCCATAGATCTTAATTACAAATTAGACAAAATTTACTTTTAACCTTGTTAATGAATTGGAAAGCAGGCTTATCATATGTATATCTATTCAAAATCAATTCAGGACTAATCTTATCCAAATGATCGTAAGGGTATTTTGTTTGACAATAATTTTTGGAAATAAATTCCTGCATTTTATGCAATTTGACTTCTAATATTACTACCCTTTTTCAAGTAACTACAGTGGCATATTTAGATGATAGTGCCCTCTAAAAGCCAAAAAGGGGGCAAAAGTGCCCCTCACCCCCGACAATGAAATCTTGGCTACGCCACTGAGTAAGTAATGTTTATTCCCACAAAGATTGTAATGTTGGATCCTATCAGTGTTAAGGTGATTTGAGAATAAAAATCCCATCAAAGTGCAGGACTAAGTAATGAAGTTTTATATTCATCTCAGTGCCGTTAAACGCGTTCACTCCTTTACATTTTCGGCCTTTTTCATGGTCGCCCCGAATTCATTCGCCCTGGGTCCCTTCGCTCCACAATATTTTGCGATACAATAATCCATAATCCACAAAGTTTGAACAAAATGTTTAAATATGTGTTATATTGTCGAAGTTGGTCACTTATGAATTAAAAAAGCTATCATGTGACTTAAAGAACACTGACATGCTAGTCTTTCATTCAAACCATTTCCAATATGTCATCCAGAAATTTGTCCCGAATTAACATGAACTTCGAAACAAAGAAATAAATTATGCAAAAATGCCTTAAAATTCTCAAGAAAGTGGTTACATGGCCCATTTTTCAAGTCTCAGAAACGGGATTTTTTTGGCTAAGAAAATCATTAATAATAACTTTATTTGGCAACCCATTTAGACAGAAGTCTAATTTTCAATAGGTCCCACTAAACTTCAAATTATATACAAGATTACAGAAAGAATTAAAATACAGAAGATAACATAAAACATATATATATATTTACAATGTAACATGGATGAGGAGAGTACTATAGTGTTCACAGCTCATCGTCAAATGTGAGCCTTTAAATGTGAAATTTAGTGTCCCAAATGACTAAAAACCACAGTTTCCGTTATTTAATATGGCGGATATTTTCCTTTGCTAGGGATATTAAAATACTTATTTTAGTGAGCTAACAATGTGAAATGTGCATAATATTTATATTTTTGAAACTTAAAAAGTGTTTTGAGATATTAAGAAATCCATCAAATAAAAAAAACGTGGTAAAATTTAAATACCACGTTTTTTCTCCATAGACTAACATGGTGACATTGGCCTAATTTAACAAGTTACCACGCCGTGGTATATAGCTGTAAGGGTACTTATGACTATTTACCACGCTTAGCACGCAAGTGGTAAATAGCCACTGTCCATCAAGAATATACGGAATTCATTTAAAAATTTTAAATTCCCAAACTTGGCGTTGGCAAGAGTATGACAAGTATTTATTAATTTTCTGAAAACTAAAACATCAAGACGATCGTCCAGTTTAACCATGAAAGCCTGCAGTTGCCATAATGTGAATTTGACTGTATTTCATCCATCTTGACACGAGTCCATGGTTTCGGGAGAATGGAGTTTTAGAATAATAATGTTTATTCAAATGAACAGTATGATATCGAGTTGAAAACTCAACACCATGACGCTAACCGGGTGACATCTACCAGCTGGTTACGAAACATTTAGAATAAATATTCGCATCAAATCCACTCTATCTTCAGTATCAGGTTAGGTATCAATCTGAACTCCAGAAAGATGTTTAGCCTTTTGTGTTACTTGTTAACATACCTGACTCTTCTTTACGCCCGTAAGTATTTATAACTTGAAGACACCTTGAATCATATTGTTGATGCCGGTAAGTATTGATAACTGGGGGACACCTTTAATTTTATTGTAGCCGGTAAGTATTGATAGTCGGGGGCACCTTTTATCTTATTGGCGCCGGTAATTATTAAATTACTCGGGACGTCTGGATTTTATTGACGTCTGTTATTTAATAACTTGGGGACGCCTGTATCATTATTAACGCTGGAAATGGCTGGTAAATATTGATCACTGAGTCAGACGTCACATCGTCCAAAATGCTTATTGGATAAGTTCATAACACAACAATAGATCGATGACTTAAACTTTTTCGGATGATATTTGAAACTTACGTTACTGAAACGTTAAACGGACATATCTGGCTCCACTCTTTCCTTTGAAGTGATATACGGATGGTATGAAGGCACGTTGAGGGCAGGATCAATAGTTTTGGAGAATTTTCAACATTGAAACAGACACATTTGGTATAACCGTTGCTATCTATCTATTTGATATTCCTATTAAGACGTTACCGTACAATTTCCACGTGTCCCTTGGGTACCACAACACAGTCAAGAGGTAGGCTTCGTCCTTCATCTTACAAGTCCGTTAGGCCTACTCCTGATATTGTGTGGGACACAGTGACATAGTAGAAAATGCGGTAATGTCTTGGAGGACTAATTAATGGTTCAGCTTTGTATAGACATCAGTAGCCATGCCAAATATGGTTTTCGTCATGTTGAAATTTCTCAAAAACTAGCGATCGGAGCTACTCTGATAATAAATTACATTTTATGTCTGTCACTAAACGTTCCGATATCCCATCCGCATATCAAGTCCAAGCCACGGGAAAAGGATAGACCACTCCCGAATACCCAATACCACTGTACAAGAGGGTTTGAGAACTGCACCTGAAGTTGATAATGTTTCATAGTTCGATATATTTATTGCATATCAATAGGCCGGTAATCTTTCTGGTAGACACTGTGATTTTCGAGATTGTTCTTCAATTTTTTACCATTAAGCTTAAGGTTCTATTTGTTGCCTGGAAATAACTTATAACAATTTTCAGAATGTAAGAACTATCCTGAGGTAAGCAATGCAGATGTTAGCTATGCTGAAAATTGCCAAGATGTGACTATTACATGTAAAACAGGGTACCAAATGATACAGCAGATGACATGTACAAACAACGTGTGGATGTATCAACCATGCTGTCAACTAAGTAAGGGAATTTGATATAATTATATATTATTACCTAATGATTATATTCTTTGGTCATCCTAAAAGGTAGTGTAAAGTGCAATCCAGCTACTCAGATTCAAATGAAGCTTCTCAGTCAAATCAAGCTCCATGATTTCATATCATATTTAATTCTAATGGAATAATTTCCAGCATCGCAGAAGTGAAAACGGCCAATAATTTGGGGTATAAATATAACTAATACTAAATAATCTTCTTTTTTGCAGAACCTATGTAAGTATTATATTAACTACTCATAGTTTTTACCAGAATGATCGGAAAGGTTTTAAGGTATGATTAATTACGGTTTTATGCCATATGTCCTTGCCAGTGTAATGTTTTAAGTTCAAAGTCAGTATATGAGTATCAACTTGATCAACATTAATTTGTTTCTAAATGTACCTTTTTTTGTTAACTAAGCTGTTGAAGCTTGTTTTTGTGCTGGGTTTTATAAAGGCGTGTGTTCTCTGTTGAAACCTTTTGAATTAGTAAGAGAAATATCTCTCTACAATTTGGTTTTTATTTTGCTAAAATTTGTAAATCAATTTTTAAACACCAAACAAATACATGACGACTTTTACGAAAATTTCGTAGGTTTACGTAAATCTTTTAAATGGTTTTAGCGTTCTCAAATCGCAAGGTATTTTTGGTTAAAGCTTGGTTAAGCTTAGGATTTCTAGATTTTGGTTAAAAGTTTAATCATTTGATAACCTAACTTTCTTAACCTACTGAAACATTAGGCTGCCTCTTTAAATTTAACTTTAAGGTCAAATAATTATTTTCAATTTACAATCGTTACATTATTCTTAAGATATTACAAAAACATGTGTGTTATATTACTTACCTGGTGTCATCAAGAATGTTCAATATGAGAATATATTCATCAGTGAACTTACCTGGTGTCATAAACTTACAACAGAATCCCGGTAAAATCTGGAAAATTTGAAAATTCATAAAACTAAGAAATGATTGAAAAACGCTTGATCTTAATATTAAGCGTTTTTTAATATCTGATTGCATGTTTATGGTACATGACTAAGTTATTGGGATTTATCGGATTATATAAGGATCCTGTTATGTTATTTATGACACCAAGTATATCTACTGATGAATATAATTATGCTCTTATTGGCCAAGTTTAAAATGACTTTCAGATCATGTAATGCAGCAATGCGATATAGAACAATTGACGGAACGTGTAACAATCTACACAAACCACGAGACGGATCCTTTAAAGATACTCTTCTAAGACTGGTACCTAATGCATATGAGGACGGTACGTATTGAACCTACAATCACTTGATCACGTATCAAAAACATATTGCAATCTTATAATTCGAAATTTTGTTCGTCGAGGTAATGGATCAAACGAAAGGATCCAAAATATCAAGAGCTCACCCAGAACAGGTTTAACTTTATTGCTACCATAATTGTATGAAATGTGACCAGAGTTACTTTACTACTCATCTAATTTGATCACAATTATATTTCATTGCTGGTAGTCGCTTAGTCTTCGGAACATTAATAAATATAGAAAATAAATGTTAGGAATGACATGAACACACCAAACGTTTTTTTTTAATAATTTCGCCCGTTTCATCTATACATTTATTTTTTTTACAAAAATGATATTGTCAATAATTGTTGCTTTTGCAAATGGTATGTATTTTATGAAGTTTTTTCGCAGTATATCCCATTCGATGCAATTACCTTGTCATTTAAAAAAAACAAATGCAAATATGAAGATTATGTGTTTGCTCTTCGGTTTTACACCACACGCCATCCATGATCTGTAACATTTCATCTCCTGTTCTAGACCACCTGATATTCATCCAATGAAATGCTCTGTTTGATAAAAGATTTCTATATTACTATATGTAAATAATTGAAGTTATAACACAAACCGAAATATTAAGAACTGAAATCAGATTGCCTCATTTCTGCTTGACGTATCTTATATGACTTGTCTATTTCATTACAGGAAAGCATTTGCCACGGTTTAACGGTTTTGATGGATATCTACTTCCTAGCGCCGGGGAAATATCTCAAAAAGTCCTCACTAACGTAAGTGAACCTGCACTTACACCACTTGCCAATTTACACCAGGTGTTTGGCCAGTTTCTAGCCCATGACATCGTCCTAACAAAAACATTGAAAACACGTAAGTTACCATTACGATCTATTGTAAAATGATACGAAGAGAACTCTTTTATTATTCTGAAATAACAGCTATTTTAGAGAATATATTTTATATAGATAAAAGTTATAAGAATTATTCCTCTAGTACAAACACTGTGAACTGAACTGAACTCGCAAATCATTTTGAAGTAGAGTGTAGTCTGTGATATCCGATATCTGAGTATTCCGACATTCTGCTAAATCCGACATCTTTTTCTGTTCTCGATTGATTTCCTTCTTAGGCTTATTTAAAAATTCTAAGTACTCCGACATTCTGTGTACATGCATTACGAATTATGTAATTAATGTGAAATTCCAATACATTGAAAATTTTGCATTTTTCTACCGAGTTTCACTGTGGCCAGTTTATTTCATATCAAGGATCAGGTAATCAATATTCATAATCAGATGTTACGTCATTAACAACCAAGAAGCTCATATCGTGAATAGTTTCAATTCGAACATCTACTTCGAATAAATGTTGTCGTTTTGATTGGATAAAATCACACTCGCATACACAAAGGTTTGATTTAGTATTTAGTAGTTTAATTAATACAGTGTCGTGGTTTATAAGATCAGTTTTATTCTCTCTGTCTTCCAGACTCACATTCTTGCCATTGATATAAAAACAATTTATTTGTCTAGCTAGTGGTGGGAACTATAAATGTTGTAAAGGTACGGGTATCGATGAAACCTTGGGTTTAAGAGGGTAACGTATTGCTTTTAATTATTCTATATTTGTCTTATTGTTGTCAGTGTTTAGAAAGCTGAGTTTAACATAAGCCCATTTACACCATGTCGCTATAAAACATTCTGTTCATCGTCTGAGAACGGTTATTTTCGTGAAGAGTTAATAAAACTGATTTCGATCCGCTTTTCATTAGAACGCTTCTTAAGAGGATACCACCTCCTAGAATGGACATAAAATTTATGTCTCAAACCTGGTAAACAAGTGTATATTCACCAGACTAAAGAATAGATTCTCTACATAAGACGATATACCTATTAAACTAAAATAATTATTCAAACACACTTCTAAGCACTTTAAAAATTATAGCACCGAATATTGGCGAAAAACATTTATTTTGATAAAAAAAATCAGGTATTTTGATAGAAAAAATGTGTATTTTGATAGAAAAAACGTGTTTTTTGATAGAAAAAATGTGTATTTTGATAGAAAAAAAAACATGAATTGTCTATAAAACGTTTATTTTCATGGTTAGGTATAGAATAATCATGCAAAATGTTGTATTTTTAGTGAACCCTGCTATCCTATTAAATGGCCCAATCCAGTAGGCGACGATGGATGTGGAAACTTTGTCAGAGCAGTTGGCGAGATAGACTGTAAATCACGTACGTAATGATAATAGGCCTAATATATCAATAAACGGAAACTAAGATAAGTAATGAGAGAAATATCCTGAAGTCAAATGCATGTTCGAAATACAGTTTAATGTTTGTTGAGCTCAGATTCAAACAAACCCGGTTTCCCTTTGTCAGTGATGCAGATCGGGGGGGTTGACATGAACATTTCCCACACTGCACACTCCATGGCGTCTGCCTTAGCTCATAGGATGAAGAAAAGTATGACTAAACTCCATTCATTTCATATTATATTCTGTTGCAGCTTGGATGTATTATCGACCGCAGACAAACTACTTTTAGCATTTAAACTTTTTTTTTTCATACAAATTCATTTGTTTTTCGCGTGTGTTAATTAGTTTTCAAGATGATATATGGCCCATTTTGGTGCTGATGCACCTTAATACATTTCATTTCGAATACTTCACTACCCTCTTTTCAAAATATTTCAGGTGTAAGAGAGCCGACTAATTTTATAACAGCTTTTGTGGATGGATCTGGCGTATATGGATCAACTGAAGATGAAAGTAATTCTCTAAGATCGTTTGTAGGAGGTCAGTTACGATTTGGATCCACTTAACGCAAGCTAAAACATGCAAAATTCCGATAACAGGAGTGGGAATGGCGTCACGTGACAGGTCAACGAGGTTGACGATTGAATCACTGAGTAAGCCTACTTGCAAAATAATAAGGAAACCTGTTGTGGGAAATTTAAAATCGGCTCCTTCCACCAAAACCATTACACAACTTTTTAGAAACCTATTTTATAAACTTTCCATCGAATGTTGCAGGGAAGTTGACGATTAGCGCACACGCACTCTTACCTGCTAGAAGTAATCCTGATGATAAATCAAATTGTATCCTGTTTACAGACAATGATTTCTGTTTTGATGCTGGTAAGTAGATCAAGGAAGAAATCAAATAACCCCTCGCAGCCCCGAATACAAGTTTTTCGTTTCGCTTAAAACTCTATACACTACTAAAAACCTCTATAGAGAAGATTTGTATAAGGGAAGTAACTAGTGACAAAATCAGCAAACAGTTAAAAAGTGCTTTCGCTTAAGGCCTTTAAGGTTTTATAGATGGGAGAGGAGTAAAAGTAAAGATTTATAAGAGGAAGGGGGGTAATGTAATTGACAAAATAATTTGTTTTATTTATTACCGAGGTAGAATCCAATCAAAAAATACACGAAAAACATTGTCGAATAAAAACTGATTAGCCTATTACCACTATCTCATTTTTTGCAGGTGATAAACGAGTCAATGAAGTATCTGGTTTGACCGCTCTTCACATAGTGTTTATGCGTTATCACAACCTAATTGCACAACAACTATCCACAATGAACCCTTCATTGGATGATGAAATTCTATTTCAAGAAACAAGAAGAATCATTGTCGCTATAATACAAAAGATAACTTATCAGGAATATCTACCATTATTGATAGGACCAGCTGCTATGAGTCAATATGGGTCAGTATTTGTTAGATCTCTTCCATCGCAAGATAAACCATCATTTCGGGTCCAATTCTCTCAATACCCAACCTTGTAAAAATAGATTACACAGTAGATTCTGTTGTTCTGTTATATTTTGTCCCCGTTTTAATCTAATCATTTATTTTTTTACCCAAGTCACGTTCTTATAACGGTATGAGGAAGTCATGTATCACCTGTTTCTTTGATAAACGGCTGAAAGAGGGCTGTCGTGTGGCTCTACTTTCGGTTGTGCTACCTCCTCTTCTCGACATGGTTATCAAATCACGCTTTGATCTTGAATATCCTCATACCGAACTATACTATTTCTCGCAAAATATTAAGATCACGCCCCTTCCACTAGGTCCTGATTCTTTTTTTGAGACCGGTCTCTTATTGAATTAATAATTTTACTTGGACGTGATTGCATCCTGTTTAAGAAATCAGATGCGACGATCCCGAAGAGTAATTGTGTGAATTTATTATATTGGACTTATATATTTTGTAGACTAACAGAACCGTATTCCTACAATCCCAATATATCTCCCGGTGTCTTCAGTAGTTTTAGTGCAGCAGCGTTAAGATATGGTCATTCTTCCGTACCTAATAAGTGGACATATGGTAATAGTCGACTTCCGCTCTCTGAACTGTTTCAGAGGCCATTTTATACTCAAACTAGAGATGGTAAGTCAAAAATTTTAGTTGGTCATGGTCATACAAACCGATTCATCCCTGAAAACGTTTGAAACCAGAATCACAATTCAATTCAATGTAATGATTAACCTTAGTTCGAAACATCTGCCTCGATTCTTGGCTCATATAGTTCTAGTACTTCTTAAGACTATATATTCTAGTCTCAAATCAACCCTGAAAATGGAGAATCATGGCCTTTGCGAATTCTACCTCTTTGAATTTGTCATGTAGTAATTTCAAATGTACACAGTTTTGTGGTATGTACGACAATATGTTATGAATTATTTTTTTCTAGGAGAAGGTTACGAGGATACGATTAAGGGAATGCTTGTAGATTCTAGTCAAGAAATAGATCTAGCATTTAATGGAGGTTTTCAAGTTGATTTGTTTAATACCGACGCATTTGCTGGAAACACTCTTGCAGCAATTAACATACAGAGAGGCCGAGACTTCGGGCTACCATCGTATAACACATTCCGTGAAGCTTGTGGACTTCCTAGACTTAACTCGTTTAATGACGGAACAGCTCAGTTTAATAGATTGCAAATGGTTTACTCGTAAGTAACTATCAAATCAGGGGCCTTATTCTCGACAAAATAAACCCAGTTGTTAGGGAATGTTTAAATAAAATTGTTTAATTGAACTAAATTTTAAGTTAATTTAAGTGAATAGGGTTTAGTCGTGATAATAGTGAAAAAGGATTTGCATGTCGAAAACCAACGAGGAGATAACATTAAAATGGGATGTAAAACGCAATGTTAATTGATGTTTATAATATTACAGACATGTTGACGATGTTGATCTGTATATCGGCGGACTTTCAGAAGATCCAGTAACCGATGGTTTTGTTGGACCAACATTTGCTTGTATCATTGGTCGACAATTCAAGATTCTGAAATTCGGAGATCGATTCTGGTTTGAAAACGCACAACCCTCAAACCCTTCTGGATTCTCTGAAGGTATGGCCTTTTTTATTATTCAATTGTAAATTTCTAAAAACGATTAAATTCTGTAAAAATTGTTTCCTGCTGAAGTAAAGGATTGATGAATCTCACAAAGTGACTTTCCTAGAGACTGTCGCTAAACTACCATTTTTCTGGGGTTGAATCCCTCTTAGGCGTTCAATCAATCCCTATGGTAGTTGAGTCACTGCCTACAGACTGATAAGAAATTCAAAAATATTTTATTTTTTACGTGTATAGCGAGGTGTTACAATGTCAAATATCATCGGGTAAATATGTTGAATTGGAAATATCGTACTTTAGTATTCTCGTCATAAGTTATCTGTATTCAATTTTGATCTTTTCCAACACAAATAAAATGTCGGTTCCGTATTCGGGATTAAAATGACAATCAATATTCAAGGCGTCTGTTGGATACAGTTTTAAATTGTGACTTTGAATATTTTTTCACATAAATTAGATACATCTGAATCTTTTTTCACATCCAAATATGTATAATGTAAAGCATTTGGAGACTAGTCTTGATAAGCGAAATATATTATAATTAATTTCTTCATTCATCTTTTAGGGCAGATGAATGCAATCCGTAATCTGACGTTCTCTCGAGTTTTTTGTGTTGCCGCCAACATTTCCAGTATTCCCGCCTTCGCGTTTTCTCATGAAGCGTAAGTCATCTGAATTTAGTCTATTTATTTAAAACAATTACAAAATATTTTACTTTCAAATCCTAGTAACTAATGAAAGGTTGAAAAGGAGTTTTCGTTCTCGAGTCTGCACTTAAAGATAAGTTCGGATCGTTCGAGGTTTGTGTTAATTAAACACTTAAAAAATGTATGTTTTTAATTACAGTAACGATAATGTGTTAGCACCATGTGCTGACTTTTCAATTCATCAGCGATTTGATTATGAGCCCTGGAGAAATTTACAGGGTATTTAAAGTCTGGGTAGAAGATTTGGAACTGTTGAACCGATTATTTTATTAATTATATTAAACTTTCTGCATGCACATTTGTTCTTCGTTCCATCGTGCTGTCATAATCGATTTATTCGGATAGAGATGTGCACTGATATCTTTTCTTAGATATACGTCATCCCTTTAAGATATCACACAATTAGCCGAAATTGGGGAGGATTACGTAAAACTCATATGCTATATGCTGTATGATATAGCCCTACTACTGGGGTCGTATATAAGGCCTATCAGGTACCTCCTGTGGCGTATACCGTACCCCATGTTGGAAACCAAGGGACTAGACGATTAGACCTGCGTCACTGACAAGGCTGTCGGAATCGTGATTTATTAGTTTACATTATCAGCAGTATTACTTCTAAATAATTATAATACAGAACTTTATTAGTTTAAATTACCATAATATAAACCAACTAATAATATAACATCAAAATAACACAACATCAACATACACCTCAATATTATA